ACGAATTGTATGATTATATAAATTTTGGTGGATTTGACTTGACAATAACTAACTCGGCACAATTTTTCGTTTGGTCGTTGGATTCTTGATTTGCTTACTCTTCCTTTAAAAAAATAGTGTAATCGATCTAAAATTGTTTAGAGTAACAAACATTAGAAATTTGAGTTTTGTATACCTTCATTGTTATTTATTACGATTGTGGAGAAAGGGTTTTTTATTTTTGATTACCATAAAAAATGGCTGCGGTCGAGCATTGTGATAATCGCTTTCACTTTTATAACAATTAAAGTATTCACGATAATAATTTTACAAAATATAAAAAAACAAAAACAAAATGCTGCGTTGTAAATATGCTTCAATGATTATTTTCTTCGATGGCAAAGAAATTATTGTATTGACCTAATATAATGACAACTCTTACAAAAAACATCGCTCTGAAGGCCAGTAAAGCCTGATACTTTTTTTAAAGATTTTGATCACACAGATCGGTGAGTGGAACAAATCTGAAAATTGTATGATGAAATTATAATAAAAAAAATAATAGAGCGCACGGCTTGTATTTGACGGTTGTGGTGACGGTGGCTAAATCGTAGACTTTTAAGGTTTATATTATAGACTAGATTGTATAACATAGCACGCATAGAACAAAATAAAATAAACCAACCAATAGCACTGCATTAAAAAAAAATATCGCGATAAAATTATGAGAGGCTTCGAACGAGAGAAAAAAAGAGAGCGACAGAGATTACCAATTTCAAGAGAATATAGAGAAAACGATACAAGAAAAGAAGATTGATTAACGTTGTCATCCAAATAAATGCTTCTTATAATTATACTTTTTGGACATAGATGATAACGTTAATTATTATTTCTTTCCTTTGTAAAAATTATTAACAAAATCTTATATCAAGCGATCATAATGTATAGAATATATGTAATATTCACAGTGCTTAAAATAAAAAAAATTTAAAAACAAAAACAAGAAAAAAAACATAAATTGCGGTTCTGCCACCAGGTACGTTGGTTGGCAATGGTCTAGTTCAGGAACCGTTTAGATGCGTTCCCTGCAACAAAAATCTGAGTTCCTTAACGCGCTACAGACGGCACATGCAAAATGTCCACACGAAACCAAGCAAGGATCCAGTATGTAATGTCTGCAACCGAACCTACTCAAGTTTGAACAGTCTGAGAAACCACAAAAGTATTTATCATCGTAAGGTTAAAAAACCACCAGCAGAAACTACAGAAACCCCTCAAGACTCGCCGCAGCAAGTCAGCATACAACAAGCACAGCAACAATTGCAACAACTACAACAAGCACAACAAGCGCAACAAGCACAACAGCAACAACAACAGCAATTGGAAGTTATACCATTGCAACATTTACAAATTCTACATGCAGCGAATTCCGAGGATTCGCAACCAGCAGACAAAAAACAAAATCGAAGGAAGGGACCATCACAATGATGTGATGATTATGAGCTCGTTGATTTGCTTGAAAAGTTTAGGGTTCAATTAAAAAAAATTAACCGAACATATATTAAATGTTTCGTCCAAAGCGTAACATGACAAAGCTGTTACCGGTACCTGTTTGAAATTTTTAAAAATATAATAGGTTAGCTGACTATCAGATAAATAAATAATTAATTTTTTAATTGTAGTGATTTTTTACCTCAAGAGTAAGATTGTAAATAATGATAATATTCATGATCAACGCAAAGAAAGAAGTTTAGTAAAATTGTTAAGTTTTATTGTAATGGTGAGATTTATTTAAAACATTCAAAAATGCAACGAACAATGTGCTAATTTTTATTCTGTTTTTATCGTTATGACCGTTCGTCTCACCATTACTATAAAATATAGTTTCTTCGCATTACTTTTACACATAAAGTTCAAATAATGATTTGTAAAAATCAACAGTTACCTTGTATGCTTGCATAATTTAAAATTAGTTTCAAGTCAATTTTAATTTTCATTGATTTTATCTCATTATAAATTAGACTAGTAAAATCAAAAATCACTTGTCTTTTGAATTGATCACAGAGCTAAAGGGAAACCCGAAGCTAAAATTTTAATGAAAATGTTGAAATACATTTTTTGAGATTTTTATAAAAATATTTTCGCTAGAAGTAACGTGTTTGCCTTTGTTTGTTGTTCTCTGGATGCTCATGTAAATTTTATAAAAATGTTTGGTAGAAATCTCAAAAAATGTAGTTAAAAAAATTCTCATTTTTACTGTGACATTGTATTTTGAACAATTATTTTATGTTACATTTAATAAAATAGTAACAATTCAAAAGATCTATGTGATGAATTGTAAATTATATTGGGTCACAAATTACATTTATAAATTATTATCAGTACATAGTATTGAACAAGTTACCACTTTTTATGTTATAATAGACAAGTTTGTAAGATATAGTTGTTATATGTTGAAATTGGTTATTTTGTAATATTATTTAAGCTTGCCTGCGCTAATTAGCATAATTTTGATGATTGAAAATTAGCGTCTTCCATTAGTGTTATAAAAAATAGTGCATTTACTTATAAATAGTAATTTTTAACTTGACTAAGTCGATTAAGTTTTCAAGAAAATATATTTTCAATGTTGAGCAAATTACGAGATTATGTACAAATGAAAGTATTATGATCTAAGAAAAACTTAGTATATAAGTTGCTTATTTGTTCTGGAACAAATGAACAACGTGAATATTTCCATCCTTAAAAGTATCAAAAATAGTAGAACTGTATTTGTATAAAGAATATAACTCTTAATCGACCGCGTCTTACAAAAGTTTACTTCGAACAAAAAAGAATAAGTTTAAAACTATAGGAAATTAAAGTATAGACAGTAAAAATAGTTATTTTCAATGATGAATCGTAGACCGTAAGTTTAGTTTTTAAAAATCATTTAGAACATTATTTTAAATTATATTTTTTATATCATATATTTACAAGAAAACTTAAATTTCGAGTTTATCATATAAACTGAAATGAGCGTAAAGATTGCTTTATATAGTTTTGAAGATGTTAACTATAATCCAATTATTTTATTATTTTTTTTTTTTTGGAAAATGACTATTTTTATCAACTTTAAAAATCAAATTTCCATAACTATACACACCATTGTATTTTAGAGTTGTAAGCAGCAATAAAAATTGTTTTCACATAATTTTTATAAACCATGAAAAGCAATGGTAAATTTATTCATTCATTATAATCATACGTTATCGCCATTATCATTGAAGTGTCAAAAAAAGCTTAACTAAAAAGTATTTCGATTCATCTCGATCCATGGATTTCCCATACAGATTGAGAAAGAGAGAGAAAGACAGTGAAAGAGCGAACGATGCATCAGAGTGTTTGACCACTGCATTTGACAGCCGTACTTACAAAATTTTAGCCGATGACTTTTTGAATAATTCTTGAAAAGGGCCGTCCGGATTGTTTATTTTTTTGCAAGTATTCATTCATTGTACTCACTCACCGATTTTTCTACCATTTTTTTTTTTGAATAAAAAAATTCCATCTCGATACGAAGTATCTATAGTTGTTTCAATTCGTAGTGCGCCTGCTGTGCGAAAAGCGATTTTCTATTTTCTTGGAAACGCGCGTTCGAGTAAGTATATGTAAAGCAGAGGGATTTCGAACGTGTTGTTTCTACTTTGTTTCTATTTGGTACGCATGTTGTTCACGTATGACAAAATGTTCAGTTAAAAACCAAAAAAAAATTTAAGAAAATGTATACGCCTTATCACGAGAGTCTACACTTGTCCACACGCCCGGGGAAACATTGAAAATGGTATGCATTTTTTTTTAATTTTTCAGAATTTATCATAGTAGTAATCATCATTACTTATTTTTTTGTTATCTAAATTTTTTCATCATTAATAATAAAAACTGATTCGGCTTTCCCATTGAGAGCACGAAAGTACGATTGATTTTCTTAATGCGAAAAAACGCGTGATGTATAGCGTTAATAACTTATTTGGATGATCTGTCGCTAAAAGATGTCATCCATCAGCGCGTTACATATATAATAATATATAGCCTTCATTGGTCACACATTACCATAATCAATGACAAACCAGAGCCCCGAGCCTTTTCTCTTGTCTGTCTCTCTTTCTTAATAAAGATCCATCTCTCTCAATATTATTATTAAAAAAAAAACGACAAAGCGCTCATGTGTTTGTGTAAACTAGTAGACTTTTTAAAATGAGTTGTTGTGCATTTGAAAAGTAAAGAATAAAAAATAGATACAGAGTAAAGTATGATTTAACAGTTTTTTATCATCAAACAAAAAAAAAAGAACGTTTACACGAGAAGTAAATTTTGATTTTTCTCTTTCTTGACATTTCTTAATTTTGATGCAATAGATACAGAAAAAAAATGAAAGTGATATTGAATCGACCTTTCATACGAAAATAAATGTCGTTGCTTATTATTTTTCTCATGATCCCCTTTTTAATGCAATAGTCCCAGAAAAGCACCTTGAAGTAATCTTTTTTTTTTTGATTGGACTAAGCCAAAAAAGCTCCCCCTTTTCTTTTACTACCCTCTCTATTACTACCCTTACTTTCTTTTTCCATATAGAAAAAGCACCACCAACATCGTTTTTTTATTAATGTGTCCACAATATTAATTGCAACCGTATCTTTGTTCTTGTTTGTTCCCGGTCCCGGTCTTGCTCGGCTATACGTGCTCTGGTTCGTCATTGTTCTGTGTGTGTACCTACTACTACTACACCTACTACCTTCATGAACGGATATGTGCTGGGGGTCCATCCGCACGTGGAACTATCTCCTTCTCGGCCGCATAATTGGTTCGTAACGGATTTTCTCAAATTCAACACACACACATCAACACACACACTTTTACACGAATAAATTATACTTATTAAAAAAAACGCGGAAATTTTACAATCATATCAATTATTGGTAAAAAATAAATAAAAAACGTCAATTTTCGGGAATGCGAAGGAACGCCTTCTGCGATCTTAGCAATGCGACTGTCACATCCATTACACGGCAGTCTCTTGCCGCCCGGCGTCTGCTACACCTGCGACGTCTGCGGCAAGACCCTGTCCACGAAGCTGACGCTGAAGCGTCACAAGGAGCAGCAGCACTATCAGCCGCTCAACAGCGCCGTGTGCGGCCTCTGTCACAAGGTCTTCAGGACCCTCAACAGCCTCAACAATCACAAGAGCATTTACCATCGGAGGCAGAAATAGAGCTCGGCCGGCCGGGCCCGACTCGGTCCGAAATTACCATCGGGACTCGCGCTCTTGCACCGCCAGCAGTAGGCCCGACCGACCGATTACTCTGCTTTCTCTGTATACGCGTGACGATGACGACGATGAAAATCTGCGCAGACAGACGAAAATTAACGAGCCCATCTGGCTCGAAGATTGATTGAAAGGAAGAAAAAAATACAATGTGTATAGCGTTCGCCGCCACATTCACTGTATAATGTCGCACAGGGGCGAACTGGAGACTATAATGAAAAAAAAAAACACGATGTATTTTTTATGATCGTCGAGCGTTAACATAAATATTACACACTCATACACTCACAAACAAATCCCACACTTATACATATACGATTACCATTAGGATTAGATTACTTACGACGACTACACGCGAACAAATTTATTCGTTAACCATGTGTAGTTGAAATTATACATAATTATAAAACTTTTCCAAATTCCTTTCATCGGACAAAAATGACTCGCAGAGTCTGTATATAAACTCCGTGAAAAAGGAATAGAATCGAGCTTAAAAGCTTGTTTAAAGCGCGTATATAAAAGTAAAAAAAAACGAGATTATTTCGGAACTAAACACGATATATAATACCATTCCGTCGCCTACATTATATTAACCTGTACAGTGTTTTTGAAACGTCAGGTAAGATAAGTAGTTTCGTGTAAAATTAAAAAAAAAAAAAAAGAAAGGAGCTGTTGATTTTTCACGTGGACGAGGTTAAAATAAAAATATTGTTATACGTATTACGTAAAGGTGGTACGAAAAACCGAGTGGAGAGAGAGACTCGCGAAAGTGATGGCAAATCGAGAGTGTTTCATTTAAGTCGACTTGATAAAAAAAATTTATATTTTTTATACTTATTTAGCTGTAGGTTTTATGAAAAAAAATTTTAACGTTATTCTATATTTTCGAGGAAAATACCCTATTATTTTTCTTAATCGAACGCGAAATCGCTCTTAAATTTTACCGGAGTGTAAAAAAAGGTTGCAACTCCTAAATTATCGAGATTCGGGGAACGGGTAATCGATCATAAGTCAAATAAAATTTTCAATTGTTATTATTATAAATTAGTTCATCGCTGATGAAAAAAATACTGCGATAAACGACTTTTATTTATTTAGCATATAAATGTCGGCGTGCTTCTCTAGCAATAGTAATATTATATCGGTGGTGAGATATAAGGACAAACTTATAAACAATATACAGTGCTTCCAAACCAGTGGAAAATTGAAATTAAAAATTTAAGTAAAAAAGGAACGGAATTATAAAGTAGTAGAGCAATCGGACCGAAAAAGCTTTGAAGTAAACTTTATTATGGTTAGTGATGACACGAACTGGCTATGTGGCAATTATTGAGATAAACCAATTTGATGAGTTACACAAAAAAGTTTTATCGTTTGTTACATGAGTATGCCCGCAGTTAGTCAAATTATTGTGACGATTAAGTAATAAGTTGTTATTTTGGAATATATATCGAGAAAAAAAAGTGAGAAAATATAAAATATGTTTTCCCAAACAAGGCCAAAATGAAAGTTGACTGATAAAATATACATTTAAATTGACGAGTCAAACTCGACTTGCGTTTTGTCATTTTGTTATACGAAAAATTATAAATTGTCCATTAGAGTTGAAAGGAAAATTTTTATGGGCTAGTTTAAGGTATAGGAGTATAAGTTCTGAGGTGAAAAGTGTACCATTTGCCGCCCACGCAAAGAATGATAAGGTTTTCGGGTGCGCAGACGTTTTAAGACTTTACTGAAAGCGAAATTCAAATCTAAATACAAATTATATGTTTAATTAGGATCTCATAATAAGGAAAAAAAATTAGTCAAATATTTCGGAAATAAAAACGCAATCGTATTTAAATGAATTTTATGATCAAAAGAGTAATTTTAATTCTACAAAAGACTGCATTAATATGAATAAATTAAAACGCGAATACAAATTGATAAAGCTTTAAATTGAAACTAGTGTTCGTGAAACTATTAAACTGCAATTTTATAAATTAATTTTTTATCATTAGGTAACAGAGAAATTTATTCAAATTTGAGCTATATAGATTTGGGCGAGAATAAAATTATATATTATATAATTTATAAATCAAAAATATTTTAACAAATTATTAGTGAAAAAATAAATTATTAAATGTTTTATTTTGTCATAATTATTTTATACATTCTAAAAGTTGATGTGATCGTTTTAATTTCATGAATCGGTTATGAATTTGTTGAGTTACTTGATGAATTATTAATCGTCTTTATAAATAAGTAACTTAAAAATTTGGATAATAATTCGAGTATTATATTATTTAATATTTGATAAATTGAATATTCGATGAAGATTGAAGGCACAAATCTAAAAATTCGTTCGAAATTTTACTTGAAATGTGCTTACATGAATTCTTACGCCACTAAAAGACAGATAGCAGTCTCTACAAAGATAACTTTAAACTCAGAGTATGAATAAACGCAAAAAAGCCACGGTCTACTAAGCACTGAAATAATATATAATGAAGAAATAATAATAGCCATTATATACACATAATTATTTACTGCATATATCTATATTTTATAGAGTTTTGGTAAGTTGAAAAAAATAGTGTTATGCAAATAATCGTTGCAAGTAAATATTATGGTTCTTATTTCACAACAAGTTGATTTTAACAATATAAAGTTACTTTTTGCATGTTAAAATCAACGCTGTACATTAAAAGTAATAAATCAGCAAGTTATTAAATCTTTTAAATAACTTCATACATCAGTATCTTTTACAGATCGACTTATCAATAATATTCATTATTCAACAAAACAAACATAAAATAATCTTCAGCTTAGTATACTTATAACAGATTAGCACTGAATTTCATAAAAGCACAAACGAAAATGTTCATGCGTACATTTATATACACTTTTATAGGCAGGCCATTACGAATAAAAATAAAATACTAACTAAAAAACTATCTGGGCTGAATGCAATTTTGAAATTTCTCATGCATCATTCTCTTTTTATGAAACAATAATTAATTCTGCTATTTTCAAAACATTGCCACAATTTTTATGCGAAATTTAAATAATATCTAAAATAACCATATAGTACGTAACATTTTTACTCTCAGAATAAAATATATGACATAAATAGTCAATTATTAAAAGTCGAAATTTTTATAATTACATTCAGCTCAGTCAGTTTCAGAAAAGATCGAATTATATGTTATTGCGTGAGAGCGTTACGAAATATGGAGAAAATGATTTTAAAAGAACCTTGAAAATTTAGATAAATTGAGGGAAAAAAGCTTTAATTTGAAATTATGAAATTAGTGAAAAATTTTATGGTAGTTAGAACGATGAAGGTAATGAAAGAACTGAATATTGATAAATTAACATGTAAATAGTTAGGATTATGTAAGAATAATAAAAAGTAAAAGAAATGAAGTGTGTAGAGAAATGCTGAAAAGCAGTAGCAAAAGTAAGAAATAGGGAAAATGAACAATTATTATTATTATATTTATTATCTTGTGACTATTGTAAAAAAGGCCAAATAACATGCAAATTATTTGTCAGCTGCACAAACCTAGTTGCTGGGTGGCACATTATTACTGTGAAAATAATAAATTATTTAAAAAATTAATATTAAAAAACATTGAATATTTAATTACAAATCATATAACTGTTTAGTAGAATTCTTTTATATAAGTTCATATTATTTCTTTTGTAGAAAGCCCGATTAATTTATCGACGAATGAGATTTTTTTTCAATTTTTACTTGATTTTACGAGGACTAATATTAAATTTTGTCATTATTAGTATACGTTCTTCTCATCTTGTCATTGCACTTGAGCAGAAGAAAGTCGACAATACTTCGTCGCAATTGGCCTGTGATACGGCGATGAAACGCGCTTGTTAAATTATATTAATTATTAAAATTATGTAAACGGAAAGACTGAAAAATCGTCATTTAAAATTATTTACTTATAGAAATTGGTGGTTTTTGTACTTTTTGGCGTGCGATTGATTGGATTGAATTGCGTTAAAATTTCAATTTGTTTCTTTAGTCAAAGAATAAGATTGGACTGATTTTTATATAGTTTGACTAATGACTAATGTTACCAAACTGTTTACAAAAAGTACCTAATACGTTAGTTACAAAGAATTTTATCTAAAGTAAAAAAAAAGTATATTATATGTTTGAAAAAAAATATGATTTAAACGGCCCGCAGTAAAGTACTGTGGCTTTTTGATATTTTTTCACGCTCGTTAAAAAAAAAGGGAGAGAAAGAAGTGAGTCCAAAAAGGCCCCCCTACAACTTAAAAATTTGTGGTTTTTCGTCAAATATTTTCAGTTTCTTTTATTTTAATCGGACTGTTGTTGTTTAAATAACGCGCAGATTGTAGACTTCATTTTTTTCGCTTTATTATTTAAAGAAAATTGTTTAATTTATTTATAGTGCACGTTAGAAGATGGTCGAGGGTTAAAGTAAACACGCACACTCTACACGCATTATACAGCTTCATATGACACATGCATTATTCATCTACACCACTTTCACATAATCAGCATCTATAGATTAGAGCATATTCGCGAAAAATGCACATAACTTCACTTTTTGTTTATTATTATAACAATAGACTACGTTTAATCGATGTATAATAGTACTTTGTTGTAACTGCACTCTTGAAAATTCGTTGTTGCGCATTGATCGAGCGTCTGTAAACATACCGTAGTTCATGATTGAATACTTTGTATCTTAATATATGGTTACGTATTTGAGATTTGATTGTGAGACTTGTTTGCATGCGTGCGGCACAAGTGCGGCATCAACGATGCTTCAAATTTATCCATAATCCACGCTGCGTTATAAGCACAACCCAGAACAATATTTTAATACGATATTTCATTCTGAACTGAGATTCAGAAATAATACTATGAAACAACATGTGACATGAGTAAGCAACTTTAAAACAGACAAACAAACAAAAAAAATGTGCTTTTTGTAATTTAATTTACGAAGAATTGATAGACCACGAGTTTTTCGAATTTACCAAAAATTTACATTAGTATAAAAAAAAAAAATTGACTTAAGAATTTCATTATACGACGTGGTTACTTGCCATTAAGAAAATTACGTTTATCCGAGCCGTGTATGAACAAAAACGCAATTAGCTACGTTTTCTCGCTTGATATTAATTGTTATCTGCCATGGTGTTCTGGTTATATTATATATTTATTGATTATTATTATTATTATTATTATCATTTTTATGACTATTATTACAATTATTATTATTATTAACATTATATTATTACAGTTCATATTACTGCTGATTCAAGCTGTATCAAATATAATATATTTTCACTTTTTATACTCTTTAAAAATGTATTCTGTTTGGTTTAATAATTTGGCATGTGTTTTTCATTTATTTTACGAATTGACCCTTTTATCCATCCCCTTATAAAACACGAAAAAGCTGATAGATAGCTTAAAACAGAAAATTTTATAAAATTCAAAGTTATAGTAAACTAAGGTAAAAATTACTTCAATATCTTAAAAATTAATGGGTAATCATGGAATTTGAGATTTTGATCTAATTCATGAGATCCCGTAGAAATTTGTTGCGAACTCCTGCATAAAGTCATATCAGCAAGAAGGTAAGTGTTGGTAAAATTTCAACAAGCCGTTGATCATACTTGTTTGAAACAATTACTGATGTACCTAAAACATCCACAAAAATAATAATATGATATCTACTAGAAAAGATTCTGGTTAATCGTGCAGCAAATGTAAAAATTGATTCGTAAATTTTAAATTTCTTAGTCAAAAAAAGCTATATAATTTCTTTACTTAGTTCATAAAAAAATTTTATTAAGGCTTGATCTCGCTAAAAATGCATGCTTTAAATGTTATTTTTAGAATGCTCAATATATGTCTGCATCGCCTTGCCATATGTATTCGACACTGTGCGTGTGTATAATCTCTATACGTTATGGTGAACGATATGAAGTAAGGTGAAGGCGTTGCAGTGCCATTTGAATGGAATTTGTTTTTTCATGAGTTATTATCATTTATTATAACGCCATGTTTTGTTCATATTGCCTATTTATACTTTTTTAACGTTATTTTACATAGCTTTTTGTTCGAGAAGGAAAAAAAAATCATAATTTGTGTACACGTCTTATGATTTCGTTACGATAATCACGTATTGGAGTTTTTTTCTTGGCATTTTTTATATGATGATACTTTTCGTTAATTCTTCTTGCTCTCTTTTCTCCTCCCTCATTTTTCCTAGACATGTTTTGTTTTATTTCAATTCCTTTGCATTTTCTTCCCAAAGTCCACAATCCAATATCATAATAAATCATCCCCGGAGTCTCAAACCGACCTCCTCCATTTACACAGTGTCATTGTGCGTTTAATATAAAAGCAGCGCAATTTCTTTTTCGCCTGAAGTTTAATGAGACACGACTTGAGAAATTGGATAAAAAGCAATTTTCCAAAGAGAATGAATGAGCGATTCCAGCTGTGCCTTGCGAATGGCGCGCGCGCGCGATGAAGGGAGTGAAAATGCGAAGCCTAAAAGAAAAGGTGGAAAAGACAAGCTCTCCGGCACTGTGTTGCTGTGCTGCATACATTTTTCGCTCTTTTGAAAAAAAATATACGCGCGCGCGCGTGCCATGTGTAGGTGGTGCATATTTATATAGATATATGTACACACCCACATCTTGAAAAAACGTTCCTTTAGCAAATGGGTATTGCCTATTCAAGTTCTCTTAAGTGCACGCGGAGGCGATACTCTAAGTCTTTTCTTCCTTTTCTTGGACTTTCTTCCATTTTGTGTCTTCGCCCTTTTCTCGGGCCTCGGCAGTCTCGTCTCTTATGGTAATACTTTTTTCTTTTAAACCCATTTTTTGCGCCTCCCGAGACTTCTTTTTAATTA